CTCGGTTGTCATTTGAGTGCATGGTAATTAAACATTTCGAAGTTTCCTTCCAGTCCTAAAATCTATGGCTTGAAGCCCAGTTTCATATTATCATTCTTCGTGGTTTGACAAAAGACATGACTCACAAAAACTCAGGCCATGCTCATACCTCAAAGTCCCACGTGCTTCGTGAACTGGAAATGCGGTGACTGAGGACATGCAGTTCTTCACCCAGTCTCAACCCAGGCTGCCACAAAGTCACCATAATGCGTTTGTGCTCTCTCCGAGTCACTCAGCAAACCCACCACAAATTGTTTTCATTCTCAACCAGCTTCCCCAAACTACCCAGCTGCCTACAGCACTTCCCTTTCAGTGAAAGGAATACATGGTCTAGAAAAAGTCCTTGGAAAAAACATAGAGTAACTCCACAAATATCTCTGAATGCCTACAAGGTGTCAGGCTGTGTTCTAGGCGCGAGGATATAGCTGCAAACAACACAAGCATCTTTGCCTTCGTGATGTTTACATTTTAGTAGTTAGAGGCTGACAAGCAAATTTTTTGGGTTCTTCTTCAGACCTTTTAAACGTGCTGCAGCCTATCATGGTCTTCCTTTAAACTTTGGCACCTCAAAGTGAGCAAAAGTTCCATCCAAGTATTCTAAATGGAACCTGGCCTTCCAGATCATAATGAAAGGGTACTTGTAACTTATACACTTATCCTTATCAAGATAGGAGGGTTGAATATGTTTTATTGAACAGTTTGGCGGCTTGACTTATAACTCAAATATTTAGACCTTTGGTACGTTGGCCTCTGCTTGGACTCTGGTCTGAGGCCCCACCAGGATGAGGGGTGCATGTGTTGACGGGAGTGTGAGGAATTTTTCAGAATTAGTTTCTCACTCATGGCATCAAAATCCACAGGTTTAAGTTTAAATTTTCCAAACAAATCAACAACATAGGGTAGCTTTTGTTAGATACTTTCTGTTGCAAAAAAAAAAAAAAAAATCTCACAGATGAGCTTCTCTGGGTGCATTTTCTCCTCCCATTCTGACCTGGATTCTTCATAGTGGTTATCTTTTCTCTGCCTCATGGCTTCTCCTCATTTGGGACTTTGGCTCGCTCACAGCTGCTCCGTGCCCCTCTCACTGAGCTGGCTTTCAGCATTACCCCCAGGCTGCCCTCTGCCTGACTTGCTCCATGTATCTCTATTCAAAATTTCAGGAACAGGAATCTAAATTCACGCACCACATAGTGACATTTTGGTTAAGAATGGACTGCATATATGTCGGGGGTCCCATAAGATTATAATGAAACTAGAGAATTCCTATCGCTTAGTGATGTCATGACTGTCATAACATCACAGCGCAACACATCCTTCACGTGTCTGTTGTGATGCTGGTGTAAACAAACCTACTGTGCTGCCAGTCATGTAAAAGTATAGCACATACAATTGCAGTAGTAGGCGGCACCATCTAGGTTTGTGTAAGTCACTCCATGATGTAGGCATAACGACGGAATTGCCTACCAGTGCATTTCTTAGAATGGATACCCGTCAGTAAGCGGTCCATGACTTTGTTTCAATCTCCTGTCAATCTGCTTTCTGGGAGAGCCTGTTCGCCCCAGGCCAATTGGTAGGCCAGTCCTGGTCTAATTCATACCTTTGATGGGACATTGATGAGTAGGCTGTTATTTAGTTAGGCGTGTACCCCTATCCAATCAGCTATTGCTAGAGGGGATCATGTAATAGAAAACATGGTGCCTGAGGGCAGGCTGGTCAGCAGGCCTGTGGGAGGGGTACAGTTTTCCTCAGAAGTGGCTGTGGGCTCAGCAGACTCCATGACTGTTCAGTGTGATAGTGGTGGAGAGCATTTGAAGCCTCCCTGTCATATTTTCTACATATTCTTCAAGAAAGCAGTCATCTTGCCCTGACCAGTTTGGCTCAGCGGATAGGCATCGGCCTGCGGACTTAAGGGTCCCAGGTTTAATTCCGGTTAAGGGCATGTACCTTGGTTGCGGGCACATCCCCAGTAGGGAGTGTGTGAGGGGCAGCTGATTGATGTTTCTCTCCCGTCAATGTTTCTAACTCTCTATCCCTCTCCCTTCCTCTCTGTAAAAAATCAATAAAATATATTTTTAAAAAAATAAAAATAAATAAAGCATGCATCTCCTTACTAACCATGATACACCACCAAAGTGTGTCACCATGAGTAAAGCACTAACCTCCAATAGACACCTCTTCTTTCTGTGGCAGGTATAAGGATGATTAAATCAGCCATCGTCAGTGGTTCTTCATTTTTCTGAGATGCATGGAATGTTCTGCTTGTTCCTCAAAAGGTATATTATTCACTTCGGATGGGTTGCACCCCACTTAATGAGGAGTCAGGAAAGATCTAGATAAGGCCCTTGCCAAATGGTAATCATTGCGTCCTGGGTGAGACTTGCCAGAGGGGAGATTTATGAAAATGAACCAAAGTCCGTAGAAAATGTCGAGAGAGAAAAATTGAGAAAACCAAGTTCAGGTGGCTAATCCAGAAGGCAGAACAAGGGTGAAACAGGAGACAATCCAAGGATCAGGAATTGGGCAAAACTGGAACAGATGGAAGGTGAAGTGAGGACTGCTGAGATGGGACTGCTCTTGCTTTTATGGACTCAACAGATGGTACACAGTGGGTAGCGTTGGCCTAAAGGCACGCGATTGAGGGACGCATTCAGAAAGAGACTTTCTTCTTCTCCATTTACTCTTGGTCACATCCTTTTATCTCCTGTCTCCGGAGGGTTATTCCAACTCTCCTCCTTCATCTTTTAAAAAAAATACATTTTTATTGATTTCAGAGAGGAAAAGAGTGAGTGAGAGAGAGAGAGAGAGAGAGAGAGAGAGAGAGAAACATTGATGATGAGAAAGAATCATTGATCAGCTGCCTCCTGCACACCCCCTACTGGGGATGGAAGCTAAAATCCAGACATATGTCCTGTCAGAGGAATTGAACTGACCCACACCGGCTGGGCTCTCCTCTATCACCTTGAAACCTTTAACTTTTCACTGTAACGATCTCTTCCTGCCTCTCGAAGATCAAAAACAGCCAGCTTTGCATCTTCCCCAGGGAAACCCTGCCTCCTCCACCCCCCACCCAAACACACACCCTGTTATGCCACTCCTGGGAAGAGCTGCTCTCTGTTTATGTTGCATATCCTGCCTCACCCACTCCCCAAGAGAGGTAGCAGTTAACAAGGTTGCTTGTTATCACCTCTCTGATTTTCTCTCACATCATCTCAGGACTCATACCTCATTCTCCTGGTGAGGTAATCCACAGGGAACAAGCAATACTTTGGTCACATATCTCCACTTGTGCGACATGTTCCACATCTTCTCTCCGAGTGCTGTCTGAAGAAGACATATGCACAGCACCATAGCCAAAGATGATCCCACTGATAATTCCAAACAAGAGAAAATCCCTTGAACTGACTCAACTCAAAGGCCATAGATCATAAAATCCAAAGGCCATTAAAATGTCATTATTCCTAAGGAAAACTGTTTGCTGTTATTAATCCTCACCCAAGGATATTTTTTCCAATGATTTTCAGAGAGCATGGAAAGGAGGGGGAGAGACAGAGAGAGAGAGAAACATTGATACAAGAGAGATACATCGATTGGTTGCCTCCTGCACACACCCTGACTGGGGGCAGGAATTGAGCCTGCAACCGAGGCATGTTCCCTTGACCAGAATCAAACCCGTGACCCTTCCGTCCAACGTTCTAACCACTGAACAAAACCAGCTAGGGCATAAGGAAAACTTTTTAAAGATCAAGCCACAGTGGCCCTACTTGCAAATGAACAAGTTTGAACATGTATCTCCACCTGAGACTTTTCTTATTGCCTATGAAGTCACTGACCTGAGGATGACTTCCATGGGTGGGGCTGTCCCCAGAATCCTTATTTGGAATGCACTGACAAATGTGCTCCAGGGTGTCTGAACTCTTATTATTAGTGCTATTTGATAAGAACACAGAAGCAAAATGGGCTTTTGTGGGCTGGCATAGAAACAGGCTCTTTTAGCTCCAAAGAACAAACTTAAAATCTTGAAACGTATTTTACTCATAATTTTGGGACTGTCTCTAGTGTGTATGTTATGTCTACTAAATCCTTAGTAGAATAGAATCCTGTAGTTGATAAAACAACAGCTATTATCTGAAGCAAACATTCACCTTTCAAAACTAGTATTTTCTCCCTGAGAAAAATGTTGTGCTGCTTGTGCGGTGCCAGTTATTTGGTACTGTTCCAACAGCACTGAACTCTGAGATGCTTACACCAGCTAAAAACACACAAAGAAAGAACTGGCTACTTCACCTGAAATTTTCATTCATTGAATCAATCACAACATGAAGCAAGTGTTATCTTGGTCAAGGCTATATTTTGACTCAAGAAAGATTTCAGTGTTTACCAGCGACTTAAATGCTGACTTAGGATCAAGAGAAGTATTTCTTGAGTATACAGTGTTTGCAACACATGGGGCAAATTTAAATTGCATAAACACCCCCTCACAGAAGTGCTTCAGGTTACTACTGATTATATGAAGCCCAGCAAAATCATTTTTACCACAAACTAAATGTGGTGACTCATCTCTGTATTAATATAAACATGTAACAGGAGTATCATCCAGCCCTCTAACACTTGTATAAATATAGTGTGTTCTACAGTAGTTCAGAACATACACCAAAACAGGCCTTTCTCAACCAAGTCTAGGTAATCTTTCCTGATGCCTAAACAGTGTGGGAGATACAGTTGCCAGAAGACACATTTACCTTCTGAATAAGCAGTTCAATTGTTTTTCTCAGTCAAGTAACTCAGGACCCACAGTAACTCCACCCAGTATTGCATCAGACGAGTTGCAAGTTGAGCTAACTGATGCCCACCACGAAACCCTCTTTCTGAATTCTCTGTAAAGTCTCCTCTGTGCATCCAACTAAAATAAATGACTACTTGTAAATAGCGTACACATAGCAACAATATACATTCACATATAGTTTCCCCCACATATGTTATTTTATTTAAGAGACAGTGTTTGGGAGTCAGAATTGAGTTCCAATGGTGATTGTCACAGTAAGTGTGACTTTGGGCAAGTCGCTTCAGCTCTCTGGGTCTCAGTTTTCTCATATCTAAACTGGGATTCATAATATAAATTACCTTATGGGTAGCTGTTAAGGATCAAATGAGCTAATATTTTAAAAACAATTCTTAGCACATGAAGTACATATCCAATAAACGGTAGATTTCATTAATATTCTTTAATAATTGCCTCACCCTCTGTAAGTCTGCCAGGCAGTGATAATGATCCCTATTGGATAGATGAGACTAAATAATGTATCCAGGGCTAAACAATTCATTAGTGGCCGTTCCAGGGCTCCTGGTTCCAAGCCTCAGAATCCTCACCACGCCCATCATCCCCGGTCAACCTTATAGACTTTCACAGAATGGGCTGCACTGTCCAGCACAAGAAGAGAATTCTCCTTGGTGAAGGTCAGTGCCACAGGATGGGAAAGCCCGTGGGTGATGACGGGCTTCGGTCCGGGAAACTCCTCGGGTTTTCCTAAGCATAGGACAGCGCGACTGGACGTATCGGCGACGATCACATTCCCCTGGTGATCAAAGGTCACAGCGGAGGCCGTGATTTCCGAGGGGAAGAAGAGGCTCAGCCCGAAGGTGTCCACCCGGCCAATGAGCTGCATGGTGGCGCTGAACACCTTCACCGTGGTGCCGCAGGTCCCGGCCCCCAGCGCCAGGGGGCGCTCTAGGACCGCAATGGCCCCTGTCAGCCAGGACACCGCCACCCCTCGGGGACCGCACAGACGAGCTTGCAACCTCTCGGTTCGCCGGAGGACCCCTTCTGGAAAGTCCACCTCCAGGAGGTGCAGGGACCCTGCCTCCGCGTCAGTTACCACGACCCCATTCTGAGGGGTGGTCTCCACGCCCCAAGGCAAGGAGAACTGGCCCCCGACGACGAGCTTGATCTGGCCAAAAAAATCGAACACTTTGATGGAGCGGTCGCCGGCATCGGTGACAACCACGTGGCAGTCGTTGGTGACGGTGACATCGAGGGGGTACTTAATGTCCTGGGCGGCGTCCCCCTTCTCTCCAAACTGGTGCGCGCATCCTCCCCCGGAATCAAAAATCTTGACCCGCCGCTTG